GTTTCATTGGCAGCTCCTCCCGCAGCAGTGGCATCAACTGTGGATATAAGATTGAGAAGATGGCATGCACACTTTTGGTGCCTTGGAAGTTGGTACTCAAGGCCTGTGTGGTCATCAAGAATGGTAGACACACCTTGATACGCCACCTCTGATTCACTCATCTTCTGCTGCATCATCAAAGGCGGAGTCACTCTCCTCTTGTAATTTGGTGGCTTGCTCCACTTACTCATCACCATATAACCGAAAGGCCTTCAGGAAGTTTGAGCCACTGTCTGTTGTCGTCCTGGTCACTTTTTCCCTAATGTGGTATTCAGAATGTATTTCCTCTAATGCAGCAGTAAGGAGGTCAAATGTGTGCGAGCCATTGACACATCTACAAGCCAATGCAGCCTCTCCAGAGAGGTGTTGTCTATCCAGTGACAGGTGACACCTAAGTAGCTACGTTGTCTAGCAGACCAGCAGTCTGTTGTGGTAGCAACATAGTTCACATCCCTCAGCTTTTTGATTATTATGCTCTTCTTGTGTTTTGCAGCTTCCTGTATTCTTGTGCATAATGTTTTCCTTGTCATTACTGTATAAGGTTGCAAAGTCTCTGTCATAGATTTGAAGGATGGTGTTTCAACCACATAAAATGGTTGGTTGGCTTCACACAAAATTTAGCACCAGCTTGTCAAGTGTCGCTTGTGTTACCTGCTGTGGGGCAGTGAAGCCTGTTTTTAAAACCACATTTTAATTATGGGAAGGCAAGGCTTGATATGGATCGACCTGAAGGGTAAGTCTTGATCAAACAGGAAATCCACAACTTGACCAAGGCGAGAACGTGCAGCCTTCACGACATGATGAGACGATCTGGCAGAGAAAAGTGTGTGGCCACCACTTAAATACGCTGCCAAATCATCAGCGTCAGCTGGTAAGCGCAGGTGAAGCTGATTTCCCAGATTGCTGTGCTGCAGCAAGCATGACAGGACCCCCCCCCCCCCAACCCTCCAAGGACGGCTCCTGATGTCCCAAGAACAAGAAGAGGGGACCAGCTCGGGCACTCAGAGGTAGGGTCAGTACTCCTCAGACAGGTTGCCAAGCTAGTTCCTTGGCAACCTGTCCTTGGTGGACAACCACACTCTCTGACCCTCGGTGTAGGTCAGGGGTGTCAAACTCATTTTCACCGGGGGCCACATTAGCAATACAGTTCCATTTGAAGGGCCAGTTGTAAATGGAAGACTGTATAGATTAGGGGTCCCCAACCCCTGGTCCGTGGACCAGTACCAGTCTGTAGGTCATTTGATACCGGGCCACAGTGGAACACATTGAAAAAACGTATTAAATTTTTACTGATTTAAGAAAATCCACTCATATCCATTTACTTTCTTTATTTAAGAATAATCTGGCAATATTTTTTTTAAAAAGTCATTCAGACTGATACAAACAGAACAGAGTCTAAAAGGTGTTTTATTTTGAAATTGTAATGATCATTCAATGCTCAGCACCTTGGTACAGGTCTGTACTAATGGGTAGTACTGGCTGACCAATCCTTGGAACAAAAAAGGTTAGGGACCGGTGGTATAGATGTAACTACTCCATAACAGACTAATACATGTTTCTGCAATTACAAATACAAATACAAGCTCTGGACCAGGATGTTCTGCACTGACAAATAAAGGACTGAACAGAGGGGCAGGTGACCTCCCTCTCCAGAGAGGGGAAGACAGGAAGCTGATAACCATAGGCACATTGAAAAGGAGAGAGTCCTGTTGCTGAGCTGGTCAAGGTGTTATATGCATACTCCACCCACAGAAGACATTCAGACCAGGCGGAGGGATGCTCAGATGTAATACAGCGAAGGGTTGTTCACAAGTCACAAGTCCAGCCAAGTCCAGGGAAACACGAGACCAAGGACGGTGAGGTACTGGTAAGGGATGGCGCAGTCCGGCGGGAGCAAGGTTGGATGGCTTTGATCGACAACAAGTACAGCAAGCCAGGAGGAACTGGTGAGTGTCCCTCACTAAAGCTGGGCACCAGAACCGGTTGCTGCAGAAACTCTGTAGTTCTGCAGGCACAAAGAGCCAATCAGGAGGATAAGTGCTGGGACCAGGCTGGTTCTCTAATGCTGCCATGACTCTTTGTTCAGTGTCCCAGGTAACCGGGGCTACTAGGCAAGACGGTGGGAGAATAGTGTCCTCAGCAGCGCCAGGCACCCCATCACCTGGAAACTGCCGAGAGAGAGCATCTGGCTTGCTGTTGCTCAAATCAGGTCAATAGGCTAGAGTAAAACAGAATCTGGTGAAAAAGAGGGCCCACCTTGCCTGATGTGAATTCTGCCCCCTAGCTGACTGCATGTATTTATGTTAAGTTCTTATGGTCAGTCCAAACAATGAAAGGCTGCTTTGCCAATGATGCCACTCCTCCAATGACAGCTTCAGATCTAACAACTCCCTGTTCCCAATGTCATAATTTCGCTCAGCTTGGGAAAGGTGGCGAGAGAAGAAGGAACAGGGGTGAAGATTCTGGTCCTTGGCACATCACTGCGACAGGATAGCCCCAACCCCCACATCAGATGCGTCCACCTCCACAATAAACTGTCTTTCTGGATCAGGCATCTGGAGTATGGGAGCAGATGTGAAGCGGGTTGTCACATTCTGAAAGGCCTGTTCTGCAGCTGGCGACCAGACATAGGGAACCTTGGTGGACGTGAGTGCTGAAAGGGGGGCGGTGGAGCTGTAACCCCTAATGAAGCGACGATAAAAGTCCCAGAAATCTCTGGAAGTGCTTCCGGGAGTCTAGCCGGGGCCAATTGGAGATGGCCAACATCTTGCTAGGGTCCATCTGAATGCTCCCCTCCTGAATGATGTAGCCCAAGAAGGAGGTAGAAGACACATGAAACTCACACTTCTCTGGTTTGACAAACAAAGCATTCTGGAGCAGGCACTGGAGGACTGTTCAAGGTGGACGTGCTCACTTTTGGAACCAGAGAAGATCAAAATATCATCCAAGTAAACAAAGACAAATTTATTAAGCATGTCCCTTAGAACGTCATTAATCAAGGCTTAAAACACTCACTAGAACTCCTTCCCCTACTGGTGAGCCTGGTCTTTTACTGGGCACTTGGATAAAAAGTGTCCCGGTTACCCGCAGTAGAAACATCAGCTCCCTTTGAGGCAACATCTCCGCTCCTCCAGGGAGAAACGGGTACGGCACACCTGCATAGGTTCGGATTTCTCCAGCTGCTCCTGACACACTGGCTCCAAATCAGTGTGCCGCTCAGCAGAGTGCCGGACCCCCAGTAGACCCTGCTGCTCTTGGCGCCTCGCCTAAATCCTCTGATCAGTGCGGCAAGTCAAATCAATTATGGCGTCCAAAGTCGTGGGGAGATCACGAGACACCAACTTGCCCTTTATATTGGAGTTAAGGCCCCGGAGAAAAGCGTCACAAAGTGCAGGTCGATTCCAGTTGCTCTGGCCTTAATATGAAAGTCTATAGCGTAGTCAGAAACAGTGCAAGACCTCTGACAAACCTCCAACAACCCGCCAGCCACATCCGGTCCTAGCCTTGGGGGACCAAACACCTTGTGGAGCTCCAAGGAAAACTCCTGAAACGAGGAGCGTGCAAGAGCCTGGCGATCCCATTCTGCTGTTACCCACAGCCGAGCCCTCCCGGTAAGGTGTTTGATGACAAACGCCACCTTAGCTGCCTCTGTAGCAAATGTGTGAGGCTGGAGGGCAAACAGGATACTGCAGTTAGTGAGAAAGGGACCACACCCCTCGGGATCTCCTGCATAACGTTTAGGAGCACCTACCTTAGGCTTGACCCTGGGAGAGTAAGGAGGATGTTGTGGCTCTTGGTGCAGCTGCTGGAGATGAGGATGGACTGGAAAGTGAAGGAGGAGCCGCCGAGAGAGCCAGAGCTGAAGTGAGTTGTTGTACTTGAGCAGAGAGTGCAGCCACTCTCTGATCCTGTGCGGCAAAGGCTGGGCACAAACCCTGGACAGCAGAAATTAAGGAATCCTGTTGGGGCACCAAAGCATTCAGAGCACACAGAGAAGAGGAAGGTGGGTTTGTTTACAGTCGGTTTTACTGTGATAATTCAGCAAACACAAACAGAAGTCCAACCAAGATTACTGCAGCCAATGATCAGTCACAAACAAAATGTCTTTTCCACTGAAGAAGTCTCTTTAACTAAAGGAAAGGAAAGGAAGGAAAAGGAAGTGAACTCCTTGTTATTGTGACATTGTGACACACACCACTGCACACAACGAAATTTAACCTCTGCAATTAACCCATCACCAAAGCGGGGAGCAGTGTGTGGGGATGGCGCCATGCTCAGAGCACCTCTTTAGTAACTTGGAAGCTGGTGGATTCGAACCTGCAACCTTCCGAACCCAAGTCCTTCCTTAACCACTAAGCCACCACTCCCCCCTCCAGGATTTATTTTGTTCCAGTTTTTTTAACTACTTCAACTAAGTTCAGCAGTCCTTGATGTAACATTTCTTTACCCACTGACATTAAAAATGTATTTATTACAATGACAATAAATGTTATATTATGCCTGACTGTAATATCTAACGATTCCAAAATATTAAAATTTGGAGTACCACTTTTTCAATCGGTAATTAATAATTTAAACAATCACAAAAAATTCTTCATTTGCCCATGCCTACACCCAGTATACATTTTCAAACTAGACTTGAAAATATTCCCCCTTAAAACTATTTTTCTCTTGAAAAATGAAATAACTTTATCATTAAGAAGTATTTTTAAAGGGTGTATACAGATAAAGTCAACTGCTAATATTATACACCCTAATTGTTCCTGACAAGAGATGTGCATGAAGACAATCTCCTGAAAGTGGTAAAAAAACAAACAAACACAGGTTCTGAGCTCAACAGTACCAACAGAAAGATTTTCCAGCACCTAAGTTCAATTTTATTACACTAAAATATCAGAAATACTCAACTGGTGGTAATTGCTTATTTACACACATCAACCTGATGCTGGTCAAGATGGCATAACACAATTGGTGTGTTGCATTTATCACTGAGTCTAACATTTGTGTTGAAAATATCTCTAAAAAAACATTTTATTTAACATTTAATTTGTCATTAAATCAGAAATATTATCAAACATTCTGTCCTGTCCTCTGTGATTCCGTAAGAAGAAAATGGAAGCTGTGATGTTACTGACTTGAGACTAAAGTTACATTTTTGCAGTTGCAGTAACAACACTCCACTTTCTTTCAAAAAAAAAAAGAAAAACAGCAGTTGACTGAATCCATTGCAGCAATGAAATAGACAGTGCTGACTACTTTTCCCTAGTTATTAAACAAACATCCTCCATCATGTAAATGTGACTTCCGTTAACAGAAGCAAGATAGAAATGTACATGTGCTTCAATGATTGAAGTCTGATCTAAGTTGCTACATCCGTCATGTGTCCCAGTCCAACTCTCTGCAGGCAATACGTACCAGTCTGAGCTCAAGTTCAAAGGCATCCGGCCTTTCCTGAGGATTAGCAGATAGCATCTCCCTGATCAGCTGTTTCATGTGGCTGTTCATGCTTTTTTTCCTGGCAGGGATAGGCAGCTCCATTTTTGGGTTCTCTAACAAGGCCTCGCCTAAGGGTACAATCTCAGAGCCCTGCTGCACATAGCTCCCCAGCAACTCCTTTTGAGTCTCAACATCAACAAAAGTGATTCGCTCCACCATGGCCCAGATAATCACCCCTAGAGCAAAGATATCTGCCTTGGCCGTATAGTGGCCCTCCCACACCTCTGGGGCCATGAAAAAGTCAGTTCCACAAGCTGTGGACAGGAAGCACTTGTTGACGCTCACTGGCTCCTCTTTGTCAAGCCCTGAGGTGGAGCAAACTTTGCTCAGACCGAAGTCGGCCACTTTGAGTGTAGGCTCAGAAGATCCAGCTGGCGTACATGCCTGGGAGATGAGAATGTTGTCTGGCTTGAGGTCACGGTGTATGATCTGGTTGCGGTGGAGGAAGGCCAGGGCACTGCCTAGCTGCAGCATGAAGCTGGTGTTTGTTTTGCGACTGGGCTTGCGGGACAACAAGTAGGCGTTCATGTCTCCCCCATCACAGAAGTCCATGACAAACCACAAGTAGTAGGCACAGCATGGGTCAAAGGTAATCTCTCCTTTGAGTGACGTCTCCACCAGCTGCAGCCAGGAGGAGAAAGGCAAGAGTGAGTAAAAGGTCTGCGATGATTAGAGTTCAGCAATTGGCTTTATTATGTTTATCGTGATACATAACAGTGCAGGTATAACACGGAAAAAAATTAGAGTTAATAATGTTAATAAATGCAATCTACTTTGGGGTAAAGGGTGTCAAACTCATTTTGGTTCAGGGGCTGCATACAACCGACTGTATTTTCCGGACTATAAGTTGCTCCGGAGTATAAGTCGCACCAGCCAAAAATGTATAATGAAGAAGAAAAAAACCCCATATACGTCGCTCTGGAATATAGGTTGCATCAGTGCCCTCTAGTGGTTGTCAGTGTGAAAATAAAAATTATTAAAAAACCTTCAAAAACCTACATCAACCTCAGAGAATACTCCTTTTTTTCTTCAGGTTTAAACAACAGATGGCAGATTAAGTTGAATTACTGCCACCTACTTTTTCTACTGTCAAACATTTTTACCTAGAATTACCCCCATTCACTTGTAAAAGAAAAGGAAAAAGTGACATGTATACAAGGGAATACCTTTTTTAAGCAATAGTAGTATTTTATTTTTGTCTGACTTATTCAACAATGTCTTCACATCATCAATATTCATCCTTCTTACCTCCAAGTAGATCGAGGAGTTGGAACCATGGTTCATCTTCTGAGCTAGATGGTCCCGCTGCAAGATACACTCCTTTAAGTGGATGACATTGGGATGTTGGCTTTGAATGCTGCTGAGGGCCCAAAACTCACGCAGCGCGAGCTCCACATTTTCTGGAGAATGACAGCGGATTTTCTTTACTGCTACTCGAGCACCAGTGCACTTGACTACTGCTTCATAAACCACGCCATAACTGCCGCGCCCCACCTCCTGGATCAGCTCGTATTTCGGCTGGCTGCTTACCATCCTAGTCCTCACTGCGGAAAAAGACCATTGATGTTAATTGATGTATGATGGTTTGACTTTCTTTTCTTTTTTACTTTGACCTAAGGGCTATGATGTTAGAGCAACAAGATTTAGTAACAAGGAACAAGATCATCAACAGAGTGGAGGACAACCACAAAAAAACACCATAGAATATGGTTGCAAACGATTGTCATGATACTTTTTTTTTCCTTTTTACAAACCAATACATGTATTTTATATGCTAATCCCAAGTAATAAAAGTGATACTTCTTTACTAACTTTTTTAAAAAGTTAAAAACTTTTAAAGTTTGTATTTACATTTTAACAGTCAATCTGAAACCTGAACAGCAGGGTTTTCCAAATAACCCACTCAAGACCAAGGTGCCTTTGTGCTGGCGTGCTCATCTGAACACCTCCCTGGGCCCCACTAGTGCCCGAGTGTCACTAGTGGAGCCAACATACCTCAAGGGTGATTTTCTTGGTATGATCAAGGGGTGGGGATTAGGGCTCTGACAGATGAATTACTGGGGTCATCCTTATACTGTACTTACCTTCAGGGTAAGGGAAGAGGCTGAGGTAGGGGATGGGGTGGAATGGGGTGTATTACTGGATTGTGGCTTTTTCTGATTAGATCTTATTGTAAGACATCTTCAGTAGTGGACCTTGGGGTCATCAAGTGTTTCTGTCACGGTGAGCCATCGACATGGCAGGAAGCAGACAGGACCCAAATGCAGGACTGGTGCAGGTAGATCAAAATTCCAAAAACCAGGACAGAAGCATACACAGAGCTGAGAACAAGAACAGAGCTGAGCAAAGCAACAGACTTGCCCAGGAGCAGACTAGGAACAGCTACAACATAATGCTCGCCACACCACTGGCACGGACAATACAGCGCGCACACAAAGACAGCACACTGATCCCACAAGGCCAGTGTGAGGGAGAGAGGTATATATGCAAGGAGCACCAGGTGACACGAGTGAGGCTAATTGCAGAGACACAGGTGAGTGTGATAACACAGATTACCCCACACAGCAGACAGCAGGAACAGACCTGACAGTTTCGGCCATTATCACTAGACACTCTCCCCGTAGGAAGGCTTTTAGGTACTCTCAAACACCGAACAGCTAATGACAATTAAATTTAAAATTTAAAAAAATGGGAAAAATGTTTTTTGCACGCTCTTATTGAACAAAAACTACATATCATCAATCTACACATATGTATAAAAAATTAATTAAAGTTTAATTTCCCTTCTTTTCAACAAAAAAACCTTGGAATAAAAGAATCTCAGAAGGAAAGGAGCTTAAATAAATAAATAACAAATAATTGTAAATTGTGTAAAATGACAGATGGCAATTTTACAGGACTCATGAAATATGAAAAAGAGGTTAACAGAAAAAGAAAAAAAGAAAAAAGAAAATTCAATATAATGAATATATGATCGGCATTGATTAGCAGCGGACTGTTGCTGCTGTAACGGTATTTACTGGCATTGCTCGGCATTTGTGTTCTAGATCAGTGATTGCTAACCACTGTGCAATGGCACATTAGTGTTCCATGAGAGATCATTGGGTGCGCCGTAGAAAATTATCCAATTTCACTTAGTTGGGCTGAAAACAATTATTTATTTATTGAATATACATTTTCTTTGCTCATCAAAGCATGAAAGGCAGGACATATTCTAGGAAATATTCTTCCCCTAGGTGGCAGATGGTTATAAAAAAGATAATCAGAGCTATTGAAGATCTTTGTGAGTGTCTTTCTTCAAATCCTATATATCAGCGTTGTCTTTAACTAAACAGGCCAAGATTTTAGTCAATAATAAAGTAATTTAAACTAGATTATTATACTTACATATACTTTTTGTATGATTTATGTCTGGTTGTTTGCCGTGGGGTTTTTCCTGATGATGTAAATGTGCCCTGATTGGCTAAACTGTCGTCACCCCATTGGCTAAACAGTGTGCATACATGGCCCATGGGCTCCATCTGATTGGCCAAATGTTAGCGTGCCGAGTGTGAAGGCATCAAACAATCAAATATGACACAAAGAAAAATACAAAACCTGACATTTACATGCTGTTTTTATTATTAACTTAATAAAAAAATAAAAGATATTTCTCACAAAAGGACATTTCTGATAAGTGAAAAGGCATTGGCACAATTGTAAACTTAAAATAATTCTGGCATTTTGGTAAACATTTCAAGTACCACTTGATAAAAAATAAATAAAATAAAATAGTGGAATTTCCAAGTGGAAAATGCCAAGTTCAATTGGAGACAATTGCCTGTTTTTAACATAACATAACATTCAGCATTTGTTCAAAGTGCAAAGTATGTAACTTGACATTACAACTTGAAAGCATTTCTAGTTTCTAAAGTTTAGAAACTAGAAAAAAAGGAAAAGATCAATTTGTGCACGACATGTACACAAATGTTAGGGCCTTCAAATCCAAGCTGACTCTTTTCTCCAGACAAATTTCAAACAAATCTTTCACACATTTCCCCACACTGGCCATGCAGAAAGGTGTCGCGAAACGCTCAGAAATACGTCAAATCACTGGACGATCTGCACGGAGAATTCTGTCGTCGTTTCCGTGACTTTGAAAAAATTGAAACGTCACTTCAGCTGGTGTCCTGTCCCCTGTCACAAGACCCTGAAACAGCACCACAGGAGCTGCAGTTGGAACTGATAGATCTTCAGTCTGACTCTGTATTGAAGCAGAAGTTCAACTCTCTTAAACCGAATGACTTTTATGCTTCACTTAACGAAGCCACGTTTCCAAACCTCCGGAGGATGGCACAGAAGATGCTGACATTGTTGGGTTCAACCAATGTGTGTGAACAGACATTCAGTGTCATAAACATCAACAAAGCCCGTCACAGATCCAAGTTAACTGAACAAAACCTCGGATCTATCCTGAGAATTGCCACAACAAATAACACCAGACATTGATGCACTTGCAAAAGAACAACACTGTTCCCACTGAAACTGAATGTTAGTTTATTACTGCGGTATTAAATTAATACATTTGGGGGTTTTTCACAATAAACTCTTCACATTGGTGTTTCACTTCCTGTTTTTACATTTCATTTATATTAGTCCACACAATCACACCATTCTCCTATTCTGGCCTGGCCCCCCTGACAAATTTTAAAAACCATTGTGGCCCGCGAGTCAAAAAGTTTGCCCACCCCTGTTCTAAACACGAAGTACAATGAGAACAATAGGAATACAAAATATCCATATCGTGCAGCACTAGTTAGTGTTGATGCTGTTGTTAGTGTGCATGTGCTGTACTAGAAGATACTGACTAAGATTTTCTTCTTAATTTTAGCTGAAGGTGGTAAATTTGGGCTATTCTCTATCATTACAGGCCACTGAGGTTCAGGTTGCTTCCGGTGAATTTCCACCACCTATAAGAATAAGTGGGAGGAGGAAAAGAACATTTTTACATTTATAAAGCACACTTTAGAATACCTTAAAACAGGCATGGCCAACCTGATGCTCGGGAGCCACATGCGGCTCTTGTGGTCAATGTCAAATTTAATTTTTGTGGGTTTTTTTTACTACTTTTTTTTTTTCTTTTTTTGCTATGTGAATCTCACACCAATGAAATTATTTAGGGAAAACCAAATTTCCACAGAAGAAAAGAAGTACACTGGAAGTTTTAAAAGAGTGGGAGAGTTTCACTTTTTACTTTAAGGGATGCGGCAGTTCACATGTGCCCACATACTGTATGTCAAGTGGCTCTTTGCAGGACCACAGTAAAAATTGTGGCTCTTAGCCTCTTGACTGGTTGGCCACCCATGCCTTAGAACAGGGGTGCCCAAAAGGTAGATCGGGATCTACCAGTAGATCTCAAAGAGACGGCTGGTAGATCCTGAGCAGTTACATTTAAAGAAACAAAAAAATTAAAAATGATAGATTTAATTCTATTTTAAGATGTTAATCACGAGGGCTAAAGTAAGGACCATAGAAGTATTAAGTCAGACGGTATTGTGCCATACAAATACAGCCATTTAATTTAGGTAGTAAATATATATTTATACATATATAGTTTTCAATGTAGGTAGATCACTTTACCCCGGTCATTTGAAAAGTAGCTCCCAAGCCAAAAAAGTGTGGACACCCATGCCTTAGAACCTCAAGAAGCTTCATGGAAAGAGTCAAGCATCATACATAAATGACAGAACTAGTAACCCTACTTAAAAAACAACAACAACAACACATCATGGCAGCATAAGAGAAAATGATTACTGATCACCTCTGAGATCACTCGTTCCTTCATGACCCTCGTCTCCTCTGTGCTGTATGTTGTATGTTGCTTTGAACCTTGGCTTTTTGGCCAATACTGGGGTGTTCAGAATCTGGAGAATAGTATGATATGCTTACATATTGCTCAGCTGACAATGCATCAGTGAAGTACTGGAGTGGGCTGAGAGCTTTGTTCAGAGTTTCAAGAACATCCAGCTCTTGCCATGAGGTCAGTAGCTGTTGTGCTTTGTGGTCTGTAGAGACACTGTTGTTCCAGGATTCTTGCTATCATTTTCTTCTATCAGCATGTTCTGGAATATCAAACTGGAAGGTCAAGCCCTCTCTGTGCCTCCCTTAAACTTTCTCTTTTCCTCCAGCTATGGGAAAGGTGGCCTACAAGCTTCCGTCATATCCCAATAGCCCTGTTGGTGCGGTGAGCTTCACTTTTTACAGTATTTTCTGAAAAAAAAAAAAAAAAAAAAGAAGAGTGAAAGACACACAGAATTCTCTGTATGTTTAAGACACATACAGTATTATCTAGAATAACAGAGTATTATACAGTAATAAATGTCATTGTTTTGGGGTGTGTGTGTGTGTGTGTGCAAAACACCTCCTTACAGATGGAAAATTAGCTACTAGCAGCCAAAGTGCTGTCTGAGACTACGTAGGGCTGATAATGCAGTCCTAATTTGATCACATGAAGTGAGTTAACAAAATACAGATAATTAAAATGAATAAATAAACAAGGAAAGCA